TATCTAAAATGCTTGGGACCAGAAGTGTTTCAGATTTCATTTTTTATTGAATAGTTGCATGTGCATAATGAGATATCTTGGGGGTGAGACCCAAGAGTAAACACAAAATTCATTTGTTTCACATGTGTCTTATACACATAGCCTGAAGGTAATTTTATACACTATTTTTAGTGTGCCTGTATTTTGACTGCAGCCCATCACAAGGTCAGAGTGGAATTTTCCACTTGTTGTGTCAAGTCAACATTCAAAAAGTTGAATGGATTTTGGAAAGGTTCAAATTTTGGATTTTCAGATTAGTGATGCTTAACCTATGTAATTTTTAAAAATCACTATCAGGCCACATATACTATTTGTGATTTGTTTATTTGCACTAATATAGATGAATGTTTTCCTTTTCAACAAATCATCTGAAAATGTGATTTTTAAAATGATTACAAAAATACTATTATTGAGATATGACAGTTATTCCCCAGGTTTTAAGGTCATTTATTTTCCCATTTTTGCTATTATAAATGGTATTTTTTTTAAAGAGAGAGAGAATTTTTAAAATTTATTTTTTTTTAGTTCTCGGCGGACACAACATCTTTGTTTGTATGTGGTGCTGAGGATCGAACCCGGGCCACACGCATGCCAGGCGAGCACGCTACCACTTGAGCCACATCCCCAGCCCAATATAAATGATATTTTTGACATATTTGAAATTTATTTTTTCTAAATTTCTATTTGGGGAAAGGAATAGATTTCCTAGAATATAAGTTAATGGAGTCCAAAGGTATGGACCTTTGTTGGTGGGGGGGAGGGTGTCACTTGGGATTGGGCGCATGGGACTCTACCATTGAGCTGCATCCCAGCCCTTTTTATTTTTTATTTTGAGAAAAGGTCTCATTAAGTTGCTGGGGCTGGTCTTGAACTTGTAATCATTGTGCCTCAGTCTCCCAAGTGGGTTGGATTATAAGAGTGTGACACCAAACCCTGCTAAGAAAGAACCTTTTTAATGTTTTTGGTATGCATATACTACTAATTGATTTTCAAAAGGGTTGTATCAATTTATACTCATATCAGAAATGGATAAAAGTATTTCTTGCTATGTTTTTATCCACACTGCTTTAAAATAATAATAAAACAATATTATAAATTAGAAGATAAAGAATTTTTAAAAAATCATTAGTAATAAAAATACTTTTTTTTCTATTTTGTAAATGATTTGTAAAGTAAAAAGCCCAGTTTACTTGCCACTGATAATAAAAAAGACAGAGGCTTCTGAGACTATCTAAAACCTTGTTACATAGTCATAAATCTGAAAGGCTGAGAAACATACTAATTTTGCCTTATGGTAAGGGCACAAAACCAAGCAAATCCCTAACTTCCCAGTAAACTAATGGTTAGATTATCAAATGTGACATAGCTTTTTAAAAAGGTATGTTATTACTCATTGAGGGAAATACATTTCAGCAGAATTTTTACAAGCTGAAAAGAAATTCTAATTAAAAAACAATTATCTAACAGCTTTTCCTAACAGTGAACATTGTATTTGGCACACAGAAGATACTGACTAAATGTTTGTTGAATGGGTGAATGAATAAAGGGGGGAAAGTCATGAGCAATTTGAAGACATGCAGTTTGAAGAGAAAATAGTTTGCTCAGTGTAACTGGCTTACTGTGTCTAGGAGAGCACTTATGATTGAGGTTTAGAGCTTTTATTGTAAGCTCTGAGCAATTTGGTTAAATCTACTAGTTTGTTAATTTTTTTAAATGAGGATACTGCCCACACAGCAAGAATACAATGAAACTAAGTAATACTACATAGTATTCTATAATTCTTAGATGAATGATAGATTTGTAACAAATTATCAACATGTGCTTTTTATTTATTGAACTGTAATAGTTGAGTGTGTCTATACAGGCTCCTGCACATTTCAACTCTACTGTCAGCTCAACAGAAATAGATACCATACATTTTTTTGAGTTTTCCAAATTTGTTAAATCATGAACTTCTGAATTTAATGTTAGCTATGAAAAATAAGGAAAGGCTGTGGTTGGTGTCATCTCCTGTAATCCCAGAGTTCCAGAGGCTGAGGCAGTAGGATCTCAAATTCGAGGTCAGCCTCAGCAATTTACCAAGACCCTGTCTCAAAATTAAAAATAAAAGGTTGGGGATGTACCTCAGTGGTAAAGTGCACCTGAATTCAATTTCTACTTCAAAAAAGGCAGAGAAGGAAGTTAAAAAATTTTATAATTCAAAAAATCTGTTTTTAATGAAGGATGAGGAACAACCTAATAATAGATAAATAATAGGCTTTTCTTCAGGAAGCCATTAGTTCAGTAGCTTATTAGTATTGGAAATACTAAATCATTATCTTCAGAATTAATTCCCTATTCTACTAGCAAAGCAATGAAAAAGATCTCTCATTATCTCATTAATGATATGAAACTAGTGGAAATTTACAAAAGAAAACAAATTTTATACTGTTTTTTTTTGGGGGGGGGAGTGGTAACAGGAATGAGCCCAGGGGCACTTAACCACTGAGCCCCCCCCCCCTCTCTATATATATTTTTTTAAACTTTGTTTTTTAGTTGTAGATGGATACAGTACCTTTATTTATTTACTTTTATGTGGTGCTGAGGATTAAACCCAGTGCCTCACACATGCCAGGCAAGCATGCTATCACTGAGCCACAACCCCAGCCCCCTATATATTTTTTATTTAGAGACAGGGCTTGCTTAGGATCTTGCTAAGTTGCTGAGCCTGGCTTTGAACCCGCAATCCTCCTCCCTCAGCTTCTCAAGCCTTGGATTATAGGCATGTATCATCATGCCCAGTAAATTTCATAGATTTTTAAGACCATAAAACAACAACAAAAAAGGCAAACCCCAAAATCCCTTTAACAAATAGTACATGAAAAAAATCTTAATATTCTTAATGCATGAAGAATTCATGAAATCAATAGATAAAAACATTTAACACAAAGAAAAACACCATTAGAAAAATAGCTGATACATATTTAAAGTTTTGATCATCCTGATAATCAAATAAAAATGTGAATAAAATATTTCTGTCCCAGGAGATAGGTAAAAGTTTTCTTAAATGAAGATTTCTGTGCTGTTATGGTTATGGTGAGATGAACCTTATTTCAGTTTTGATTTTTTTTTTTTGTGGTACTGTGGCTTGAACCCAGGGCCTTCCACTTGCTAGACAAGTACTTTACCACTGTCCTATATCCCCAGCCCAAAATTAACATATTTATATGTTGCCTTGGGGAATATGAATTGATGCAGCCTTTCAAAAAGGTATTTGACTAAATGTACTGTAGCCCTTAGGAGTGTTTATATTCTTTGACTCAGTACTTTCAAGCAGTCTATCTTGGGAGTATTGATGTTTGGATAAATAATTATAAACAAAAAGCTTATCTCTGAGTTATGTGTAATATATAAAAACAGAGAGCAGTCTACATATCTGTTATTGGGGAAATAAGGTAAATAAGTTATGATTCATTCAATCAATATAATATTATATTGATATTAAAATAGTTTCAAATAATATGCAGGTTGAGTATACCTAATGTAAAAATTCAAAATCTGAAACTTCCTGAATGGCAACTCAACATAGCAAGTGGAAAGTTCCACTGTGACCTCACGTGATGGAATGCAGTCAAAATACAGGTGCACTACCTGCATGCACTACACACATGCCTCTAATCTCGCCTACTCCAGTGCCTGAGGCAGGAAGATTGCAAGTTTGAGGCCAGCCTTAGCAATTTAGTGAAACCCTGTCTCAAAATAAAAAGTAAAAGAGGGTGTGGATATAGCTCAGTGCCTAGTACCTCAAGACAAAAAAAAATAGGTGCACTAAAAATATTGTATAAAATTACTTTCAGGATATGTGTTTACAGTGTATATGAAACAAATGTATTTCATTTTTATACTCAGGTCTCATCCCCAATACATATCATTATGTATATGCAAATAATTCAAAATTTTAGAAATGATGGAAACAATTCTGGTCCCCATTTTGTTTTAAATGTTTTAGGTAAGGGATATTCAACTTGTGCTTAGAAAAATGTCCAGTATATAATATTCAGTGTAAACAAGATACTAACACACATATATGTATACGTAGGCTAACTGCCAATTCTGTAAAAAATATATATATGCATCTAGAAAAATGTTACAAAATTTTATAGGCTAGCTGTTGCTGGATAGTGGAACTATAGGACCTTTTAAACATATTTACTCTTTTTTTTTATTCCAGCATCTCTACAGTGATCCTGTGTAACATTAATATATAAAAGTTATTTAAATATAACAACCACTTCTTAAACTTCTTCCTGTGTACGTTGTTGGTGATTTTCTCTGCCACGAACTGGCTATGCTCGTCCTTTAATTTAGTAATGATAGCTGTCATGTATTGAGCACTTTTTATGTGTGCTAAATTCTCTGTATGCGTTCTTATATACTGCTCACAATAACTCCATTTTAAAGATGAGGACGTAGGCTTGGAAAGGTTGTGATTTACTTAAGATCAAAGAGCTAGCAGATGATGACAGAGCAAGAATTTGTACTCATTCTGACTCCAAGGCTTAGTCATACCCACTGTGTTATATATTTTGTTTTGGAAGAAGGTTCTACTTCATTACTAATTTAAATATATTTTTGTTTTAAAATGTTTTATTATAAAGTTTTTCAGACAGCTATAAAAGAAATTAGTATACTGAACCCTTTGTACACATCACCCAGCTTCAATTATTCACATATGGCATCATGCTTTATCTATATTTCTAACCTATTCCCCAACTCCTTTCCTATTATTTTGAGGCAAATCCCAGACATATTTTACTCATAAATATTTTAGTATATTTTCTTAAAATGTAAATGCTTTTTAAAAATAATCACACTATTATATTACCTAAAAATACATTCCTCATAAATGTTTCCTATTAATAACTTCAAAGTGTGTGGACTGTAGTCGCTGTCATGATTTCTTTTATGTTATGTTTTTAAAGGTGGAACCTAACTTCGTGTGGAACAAGTGTTGCCAGCTCGGAATGCAGTGAGGAGCTGTTTTCATCAGTTTCTGTTGGAGATCAAGATGATTGCTATTCCCTGTTAGATGATCAAGACTTCACTTCTTTTGATTTGTTCCCTGAGGGGAGTGTCTGCAGTGATGTGTCTTCTTCTATTAGTACTTACTGGGATTGGTCAGATAGTGAATTTGAATGGCAGGTAGGTATTTGGTCATCTCCCTGCCCCCTTACTGGGGATTGAACCCAGGGGCACTTAGCCACTGAGCCACATCCCCAGCACTTTTGGTTTTAATATTTCATTTTGAGACAGGGTCTTTCTTAAGTTGCTGGCTTTGTACTTGCAATCCCCTTATCTCAGCCTCCTGAACCACTGGAATTACAGGTGTGTGCCACCATGCCCAGCTTTGTTTTTTCTTTAATTGACATTGTTACTATATAAATACAAGTTACAATTTTTCTTTTCCTTTTTTTAATTTCTACCTCAAAGTAAGTTTTTCTACAATCTCCAGATCGGGGGATTCTTTGACAACACATTTTAAGGTTGAGAATTCAATGAAATATGTATTTTTTATTTTTGCAAATATATCCTTTAGCCTTATGATGCTATAGATAATCCTTTTGTAGGTTTTTTAAAAAAAATTGTAGTTATAGATGGACAGAATGCCTTTATTTTATTTGTTTGTTTTTACGTGGTGCTGAGGATCAAACCCAGTGCCTCATGCATGCTAGGCAAGCACTCTGTCACTAAGTTACAGCCCCAGCCCCTTTTGTAGGTTTTTGTTTACAAAATAATCAGTACTTTTCTATGCATGAATCCAAGCACATTTATTCTCCCTGCTTTGTAATAGATAGCCTTATGTCCTCATAGGACACACATCAGTGTCACCTTATGTATCTAATGCCATAAACCATTATTACCATAAATACATAATTTTTGGTTTTGTTACCAGAAATGGAATATAATTTCTCATTTTGTATTCTCTTTGTAGACATTTTTTTCACCTGAAACTTTTCTCATGGCATGTATACCATACAAAATGGTTTTGTGGCAAATTGTTTGAAAATGCTGCCTTATAATGAGTACAGTCTATCAGAAAATATAGATGATGTTTCCCCTACATCCTTTTTACTGATTATAAAAGGCAATAACATTCCAAGAGCTCTTCTTTCGTACAGCAAATGTTTTATTCCACAAATAAGCTTGAATGCTTACTATATTTGAAAACTGAATACTTGAAGTGATATTCCAAAACAGGAATCAGATATTTTATTTCAGAAAATTCTTAAAATATCAAATAATACAGAATGACATGAAGTTAAAAGTCTCAAAGTCTCACTCTACCGTGGTCACCATTATTAAGACTTTATATGGGGCTGGGGATGTGGCTCAAGCGGTAGCGCGCTCACCTGGCATGCGTGCGGCCCGGGTTTGATCCTCAGCACCACATACCAACAAAGATGTTGTGTCCGCCGAGAACTAAAAAATAAATATTAAAAATTCTCTCTCTCTCTCTCCCCTCTCTCACTCTCTCTTAAAAAAAAAAGACTTTATATGATAACTCTTTAACATTTTGAGGAACTGCCAACAATGTTTTCCAGAGTAGCTGCCTCATTTTACATTTCCGCCAGCAGTGTATGAAAGTTTCACTTTCTCCACATTCTTGCCTACACTTGGTATTCTTTCTTTTGATTATAGTGTCTTACTGGGTGTGAAGTGGTTATGTTCTTGTGAGTTTTGTTTATATTTTTCTAGTGACTAATTGTGTTGAACAACTTCTCCTGTGCTTATTGGCTGTTTGTACATCATCTTTGATGCTGTTCTATATAAGTCCTTTACTTGTTTTCTAAATTGTGTTATCTTTTAGTTCTAAGAGTTCTTTTGCTACTAAACTTTTATCAGGTATATAATTTACAATTTTTTTTCCTGTTTTGTGGATTGTCTTTTCACTTGATAGTTTCTGTTCACTTCATAGTATCTTATGTAAACATTTTGAATTTTGAAGTCTAATTTATTTGTAGACTAATCCAGTATCATTAAGATTTTCACCTGTTTTCCTCTGAGTTTTAGAGTTTTAGTTCTTATACTAAGTTAGGTCTTTGATCCATCTTGAATTACTTTTTCTTTCCAGTATGAAATAAAGGTCCAAATTCATTCCTTTGCATGTGGATTTCCAGTTGTTCCAGCTCCATTTGTTGAAAAGACTATTTTTTCCTCATTAAACAGTCTTGGCACCCTGTCCAAAATAGGGTTATCTTTGGACTCTCAGTTATTTTCCATTAATATGTGTGTCTGTCCTTACGCCAGTACAGCATTGTTTAAATTACAGTTTTGTAGTAAGCTTTCAAAATGGAAAGTGGGAGTTTTCTCACTTTATTTTTCTTTATAAAGATTGCTTTGCTTTTGGAGGTCCCTCCCAATTCTATATGAATTTTAGGACGAGGTTATCCATTTCTACAAATGGCAGTTGGAATTTTGAGAGAGATTGCATTGAATCCATACGTCAGTTTGGGGAGTATTGACATCTTAATAGTATTAAATATTCCAATCCAAGAAATGAGATGGAATGTCTTTATTTTCATCTCCTTTAATTTCTTTCAGTGATGTTTTAGAGTTTTCAGTGCCCAACTCTTATACTTCCTTGGTTGAATGTATTCCTAAATACTTTATTCTTTGTGCCATTATTATAAATGGTACCATTTTCTTAATTTCATTTTCAGATTGTTCATTGCAAGTGTATATATGTTTAAAGATGTCTAATTAATTTCTGTATACTGATTTTGTATCCTGCAACTTTGCTGAACTTGTTTGTTAGCATTAATAGTTTTTTCCCTGTATAGATTCTCCAGGTTTTTCTACATTTAACATCATGTCATCTGTGAATAGAGATAGTTTTTCCTTCCTTTTTTCTCAATCTGGATATTTTTTATTTCTTGTTTAATTGCCCTGGCTAGATCATACAGTGTTGAATAGAATTGATGAGAGTGGGAGGATCTTGTGTTTTTTCTCATCTCAGGGGAGAAATTTATTTATTTATTTTTTGCCATAAGCACCCTATATCATACTGAGGAATTTATCTTTTGTTCCAATTGGTACAATTTTTTTTTCATGAAAGAGTATAGAATTTCATTAAATGTTATTTCTGCATCAGTTTAGATGATATGTGTTCCTTCTTCATTCTATTAATAGAATTGATTGGAATTCTATTAATAGAATTGGTAGTGTTACATTGGTTGATTTTCATGTTTAACTACCCTTACTTTTCTGGAATAAATCCTAATTGGTTATGGTGTATAGTCCTTTTTTTTTTTTTAAAGAGAGAGAGAGAGATAATTTTTTAATATTTATTTTTTAGTTTCGGTGGACACAACATCTTTTTTTAATTTTTATGTGGTGCTGAGAACTGAACCCAGCATCCTGCTCATGCCAGACGAGCGCACTACCACTTGAGCCACATCCCCAACCCGGTATATAGTCCTTTTAATGTGCTTCTGGATATAGTTTATTTTTTTTTTTTTTTAGTTGTTGATAGACATATACCTTTATTTTATTTATTTATTTTTATGTGGTGCTGAGGATCGAACCCAGTGCCTCATATGTGCTAGGCAGGCTCTCTACTTCTGAGCCTTATCTCCAGCCCCTGGACACAGTTGTATAGTATTTTTTAAGGCATTTTGCATCTGTACTCATAAGGGATATTAGTCTCTGGTTTTCTTTTATCTTTGTTTTTCTTTGTATCAGGTAACTCTGGCCTCATAGAAGGAGTTAGGAAATGTTCTTTCTTCTTGATAAAATTTTGTAATATTTTCTTATTTAACGTATGAATTTTTCCATGTTCTTCATAATACATTTTGTAATGACTACATGATATTCCTACTGTTAGATGTGCCAGAACTTGTGAAAATGTTTTGTTTACTTCTGTTTCAATTTTTTATTACAGATAACACCACAGTGATAATTTTTGTGTCTTTTTTATACTTTAGAATCTCATTTTTAAGTTTGTAAATTGTATTTAAAATCATACTTCAAAGATTCTTAATAAAGTATAATCAGATAGAGCCCTGATGATTAATGGAAATATATTTTCTGCTTAGTTCATATGATTTATTTAGAATTCTTATCATCTATAATGTTACAATGTGGCAGGCTTTTAAAATTTTTAATTGCTGGCTTCTTCACTCATTTCATGAGTGATTAGATTGGAAATCCATCCACAACTACTCACAGTTAATGTACATTAGTGGCTACAATGTTGGAACAAAAATCAGGTCTGCTTTAGTAATGTGTTTTCCCACTTCTGAAATTGGAGTATGGGTACTCTGTTACCATGGATATTTACTATTTAAATATGCTGAAAGGTTTGAAATGCTGTCTTATTTTTGTGGGGCCTCATAATGATGAGCAGTAAATTGTCCAAGAGGATAATTACAAATTATATGTTAGGAATAATATAAAGTAAAAATTGTTTACTATAGTTTAAAAATTCATATTACCTCTGTTGAGATTAAAAAGCATATGTGTTTAAATTTTTCTTTTAACATTAGATATTTCATTTGCTACTAAAATAAAAATAAATAAAAAATGATTCATAGATTCTCTAGGAAGAGAAATGCTAACTTCTTGATAAAGCAAGATTTGAACCTTAGAATAAAGCAGATCTTAGCATTTGAGGTAGCATTAGTGCATTTTGCTTACTGATCATTTGCATTGCTTGCAGTCCTTTCATTATTGAAGATATATTTGACTAGTCTTAGAGCTTGAGAAATTATTTCTATTGTTGGGCAGGAGAGCTTAGAAAATTTACAGAGTAATTCAGCTGTCACAATTGAAACCTAGAGGTGCAATCTGAAATTACACATCAGCTGTTACAGAAATGAGCTTACTCATAAAATTCTGCTGCATCCTGCAGAAAATATGGCAGAGCTTTGATTTAATTCTCCTTATGTGTCACAATTACTGATTATAATATAAATATACCAAATATTATCCCTGAAAAATATAGGATAGGACTCATTAAACATTTTTATTCTGAAATATATTATCAGTTATGAAATGGAACATTGCTGGTCTAATAAATATACAGGAGCCCATGCAATTAATTGTGCTGTACAACTGCTTCTCTAATCCCATATGTCCAATTGAGCACATGACATTTCCACTTGGATGACCTTATTATTTAATATTAACCAGTTATCTGATGCTGAATCCTTGGTCAGTGATGCCACTTCCAAGTATAGTGTTTCCATAGGAAAAAATAAATTCTGCTTTGTGATATGTCTTTATAACATAGTGAAAAATGGCTATTGTCTGTTCAAAGGACATTTGTGTTTTTCCCATTATCACCACAGACTCTCAATATCCCAAATTGTGTTCTCTCATTCCAAACTGCATCCAAGGCAAGGCTGTCTGGCACAGTTGAAAGCACTGGACTTGTGTCAACTTCAAATTCTGCCACTAGTTGTATGCCTCTCTCTGGATGTCATTTTTCCTTATTTTTAAGAGGGTGTTGGATTACAAGATCTGTAAGATTGCTTCAGTTCTCTTCCTGTAACTATTCAAGTCTTTGAGAATATCATCATGGGTGTTCATATGACCTTGAAATATTACCAGTTTTCTTCTAGTCTCAACATCTGACTCCTTATTCTTTCATCAGTTATCAAACAGCTTTGTAAATTGTTTTTCATTAAAAAAATATTTCCTATTTATTCCCTTTTTTCTTTCTATTTTTGCTTTAGTCCAGGCCTTAATCATAACAAGAGCATCCTAATTCCAAACTTTTCTCAATATTTTGTCCCCATAGTACTTTTTAACTAATTTTCCCTGGTGACTGCTTTCATCACATGATGCTATGGGCCAACTTCTATATGTCATTGGACATCTTCTGGTTCTTCTTTTGAGCTTTCAAGTCCCTAACATTGATTTTGTTTTAATTGTATTGTTTTTCAACTTGCCTTTTTATATTTTCATCTGTGATTTCACTAAGTTATTCTCGTTACCTGAAATGCCATTTCCTTTTCCCCTCTGTCATTCTGAAATACCTCCTTGTGAAACTCAACCTAGTCACTTTAGCAACATATAGTATTCCCTGAATATTTATGCTACTTTAAACCATGGCCAGAGATGGAAGAAGTTTTTAAAATTACATCTCTTTTTTGAGTATCATCTATGTGTCAGGCATGTTATCTAATTTAAAGCTCTGTCAATAATCCTTTGAAATCAGTGGCATTAACCACATTTCATATAGTCTGGCGCCTAGGAGATATTCTCTGAAAACTTAGATTAAAGAAAATTTCTTGATTTTGAAAGTATAGGTATTTTAAAATATTTTTTTTAGTTGTAGATGGACAGAGTACCTTTATTTTATTCATTTTTATGTGGTGCTGAGGATCAAATCCAGTGCCTCATACATGTTAGGCAAGTGCTCTACCACTGAGCCACAACCCCAGCCCAATATAGCTATTTTGAGTGTTTCTTTTTTCTGCCTTCTTTATCGAAGGAACTTGAAATACAGGAGACCTTTCATTTGATAAGGAGGGTCTCATTGTGTTTGGAGACTCTAGGGAGATCTCTAATGTAACATTGTGATTTGAAGTTTTGAAATCAATGAAAAAATAGCAGAGCTTTTCCATTTTTGCCAATAAAGTTTGGAAAAGAGATGACCTTCGTGTGTGTATTCAGCAATCATCCTTTTATAGCACTGGCTTGATAACATTAGGGATAAGGGTGAACGATCCAAGCAGTGTTAATGAGATTTTTACAAGTCCTACAAATTGTTGGAAGTTACTTATACACTAGTATTGGATTCATCAATGACTATCATAGTGAAAATATGGTTTGTAGGATTTAGTTGCTTATGGAGATGTAGAAAAAATGGTCCCTAACAAGTTTCATTCTAAATATCATAATTATAGTGATTGATCCCATTTTTGTGGCCTTACCCAATCTCTTCTATATAATTGATTTCCCAATTCCCACCTTTAAAACCCTCACAGGTCTCCCAAACTTTTTAATCCTGGAGTTTCAACTCACTGCTCAGTATTTCTATGAATGACCTATCATCTCAGGCCTAGCATTCATCCTGTGCTCTGTTATATTTGGGTGTTATTATCTTCCCAACTGGAGTATAACGTTTTTGTGTAAGGACCAAAACTTACACTCCTTTGAATCTCCTGTGCTTGTTATATTGTGCGTATAATAGGAGTTCCAATACATGATTGTGATAGTTTTTGTAACTGAAGAAGCTCTTCTCTTGGTAACTTCAAAAACCTGGAAATCACTCAGTTCAGGTTTAGTTGCAAACACTATAGAACAACAAAAAGGTGCTGTTTTGTACCTTGTAAACATGAAAACAATATCTTTGAAAATTGTTATATGCTACTTCAGCAGAAAATGATTTCTCTTTTTAAAAAAAATATTTATGTTTTAGTTATAGTTGGACACGATATCTTATTTATTATGTGGTGCTGAGGATCAAACCCAGGGCCTTGCATGTGCTAGGCAAGCACTCTACCATTGAGCCACACACCCAGCCCCTGATTTCTCTTTTTGACATATATGTTAAATACATTTATTTAAATCCATTCTCACTTTTAGAGGTGAGGGATATGGTTATCACTTTGATTGTGGTGATGGTTTCTTGGGTATGTGTATGTTTTCAAATGCATTGAATTATATACATTTAATATGTACAGTTTTGGTTTTAAGTGTACATTAATAAAGCTATAAAGATTAAATCCCCTCTCTTTTTTAACAGGCAGTATAAAATTATGGCATGTATTTTTGCTGTTTGTCTCACCTTAAGCTGGTTTGATTTGCTGTATGCTAGGCTTGCTTTTATTTCTCTTTTGTCTACACTTTGTTTTCTATTTTTCTATTTTCTTTAGTACTTCTGGTCTTTAAAATTTCTTGCTTTAGGGCAATTCATATTTTGAATTTTTAAAATTTTCTTGAGGTTGTTAACATGGACTTAAGGACAAGAACCATGGTTTATTTGTCTTTTTGTTGGCAATATGACTAGAAACGTCTGGCAAAAAGCTAATGAGTGACAGCTCATTCAGATCTCCCAATATTCAGACCAGTGCTTCTTATTTATTGCTGTTTGGGCCCTAGTAACAATGGCACTCTAAATTAAAAATCTTTAATGATTTGGGGGATACCAGGGATTGAACCCAGGGGCATTTAACCACTGAACTACATCCTCAGCTGTTTTTAACTTTTTATTTTGAGACAGGACCTCACTGAGTTGCTTCAGGCCTTGCCAAGTTGCTGAGGCTTACTTTGAATTTTAGATCCTCCTGCCTCAGCCTCCCGAGTCACTGGGATTACAGATGTACATCACTGCGTCTGGCTCCTTAATGATGATTGTCTCTTAAGTTAGCACTTTAACAAGTTTTGATTATGATTTTAAACTTTCAGAAAACATATTTTATTGAATAAGTGAATATATATATATATATATATGTAAAGAGAATATTGATTATGCTGCCGTGTATAAATTATGTGTACATCTGAATTTATGTTCTGTGATTGGTATATTTACCATTAGTTTTATGTAAAAGTAACTTTTAATCAATGAATGAAATTTGTTGTAATATTCAAAATGTGTTTTTAAAAATCTTGCTTTCCCTATCTCCTACCTTCCTTGTTTTTATAAAGTTACCAGGCAGTGACATTGCCAGTGGAAGTGATGTACTTTCTGATGTCATACCCAGTATTCCAAGTTCACCTTGCCTACTTCCTAAAAAGAAAAACAAGCACCGAAATTTAGATGAACTTCCTTGGAGTGCAATGACAAATGATGAACAGGTAAAAATGTTGACATGCTTAACTGAAAGCATATGTGAAGCCCATTTTATTTCCTATTTAAAGCCACTTGGTAAATATGGATTGTTTAGTAAGTCTGAATTTGAGCTTTAATTGTTTTTCAGGAACCAAATATAATGTTAAGTGTTTCTGATACATAAGATACGTTATAATTGGTATATTGAAGGACCAGAGGTTTTAGCATTGATATTGTGTGTTGTAATTTTTCATCATATAGGTGGAATATATTGAGTATCTGAGCCGAAAAGTCAGTACTGAGATGGGCCTTCGGGAGCAACTTGATATTATTAAAATCATTGATCCTTCTGCTCAAATCTCCCCTACAGACAGTGAGTTTATCATTGAACTTAACTGTCTCACAGATGAAAAACTGAAGCAGGTATGTTAATACAGTTTGTTTGCCTACTGAAAATGCCACCATCTTATAAAATGTAAAATGAATAATCATGCATATATACATTGAGAAATCACTGTTGTGATTTGTAATATTTTAAAAAATGATGATGGGGGTGCTAGGGTTGTAGCTCAGCACTTGCCTAGTACGTGTGAGGCACTGAGTTCCATGCTCAGCGCCACATAAAAATAAATAAATAAACATAGGTATTTTAAAAAATGATGGGACTGGGGATATAGCTCAGAGGTAGAGCATTTGCTTGCCTATCATATGCAAGGATCTAGGTTCATTTCCTAGCACCACAAAGAAAAGAAGAAGAAAATGAAAAAAAATAATGGTAATATTGGAGAAATGTGCTTTTAAAAGGTTTTATGTACTTCTCACCTGGTAGTACCTTTTCTGGTCAACATGGATCTAGAACCTGCTGTTCAGTTATAAAGGCTTTGAAACTTAGTTTTATTATATAAGGTGTGGTTAAGCTAAGGTATAGATTTATTCTAACTCAATTTACAAAAGATGAATTGACAGAATAAACATACTAATTAACAAGCTCAATACTTTAGTAAATATATTAGCTGAGGGCTTTGAGTAGTCTTATGGAGTAATTGACTGGGGTGAAATCTAATGACTGTTCCCTCTGCCGTTCTGAAACTTATATTTCTGGTATCTTCTAATTATAGTCTTTGCTGCTCCCTTTTTCTCTAGTAGATGGCTAAATGAATACTTAATATTTTTATGTTCTCCTTTTGGTTTATTTTGCATTTATCATCTGTGAAAAATTTCTCTCATTTCGATTTTTCTCTCAATAGACATAGAATATAATTTTCTACATTCCAGCCCTTTTTATTTATTATGCTAAATTGCTGCCTTGCATTTGAAGACAGGTACCATTGACCCCTCACTAAAGTATAGGAACAAATACCCTGATCACAAATACAATTGTTAATTTACTTAAGTCATCTTAAGTAGAGATTTTACAAATGATTAATCACATCTACTGTGCTTTGTTTTGATTTCTATTAGCCTTTCATTCACTGATTATACTTTTATGCTTTGAAAGTTTGTATCCATAATATGTTTTCTAGCATTTCAAACAGTCAATTTTTTGGGTAATTGTTTTAAATTTAAAGATTTCTGTTGCCCTTCTATTCTACTTTATTTATACATTTATAACACTTTTGACAGTTTTTTTTTATTAAGGACAATGTGATTTTTTCCCCCTCCAGTATCTTGACAATCAAATATCAAGGTATAACACTAAGCTGTTTTTCATCCTCGTGTCCCAAGGTCAGAAACTATATCAAGGAGCATAGTCCTCGCCAGCGGCCTGCGAGAGAGGCCTGGAAGAGAAGCAATTTTAGTTGTGCAAGCACTAGTGGAGTGAGCGGTGCCAGTGCCAGTGCCAGCAGCAGCAGTGCCAGCATGGTCAGTTCTGCAAGCAGCAGTGGGTCCAGTGTTGGAAACTCTGCTTCAAACTCCAGTGCCAACATGAGTCGAGCACACAGTGACAGCAACCTGTCTGCAAGTGCAGCAGAGCGGATTCGGGATTCAAAAGTAAAATGTCTAATCAATACAAAACTTTACCTTTCAATATTAATATTAGTCCTTCTTCATTTAAATTTCTTGAACAGTGAAAATTGTCTATCTAGATGCCTGTGGGTTTGGGTTTTAATTGAACAAGCAGAATGCTCTGCTGTCAAAGAGAGCACTCTAGGCTGAGTGCTTCGAAGTACTCTTTTGACCCACAGTCATTCACATTCAATTTTATTTGATTTTTGTGTCTGTCTTATATAAGATATTAATGGAAATAATGAGTAATTCTCAAGATTGCAATATTGACTGCAACTCACTACTGAGCGAATCTCACTATGTTGCTGATGTTGCTGTCTATTAGCTCCTAAAAATGTTGTGTATGTCTTTTGTGTGTGTTAAATGTTTTCTTGATGTTTTAACCTTGAATGTTCCTTCTTAGATAATTTAGACATGTAATAATGCTTTCTGTAATTTCTGTCTATAGAAATCCTTTATAATAATATCAGGTACTTTTAAAAACAGAAAATGTAAGTGTATATGGAATGGTTCTGAGGCTTAACAGGAGCATTTGGTTCCTTGCAGTGATACAGTCTGGAACCAATTTAAAGATGAAAAGAGAATCTCTTTAACTCTTTGAGAACTCAGTGGTGACTTAAAGATACACAATGATTTCTTTCCTGGTTCTTAACGAAGTAGCAGAAACATAGCCAGCTTTGTTGGTTGCCAGAGGATTTCTCTTGATATGTGGCCATTCCTTTTTGGCATTAGTTTCTTGGTATTGAAGATTGGATTATTCACTGGGGTTCTAATGAGGTTTTAAGATGATATTTAGCTAATATAAAAAGGCATGATTCTTTCCCAGCCATTATAAAAATTGTTAGTGCTTTTGGGTTCAAGCCTCCTTAAAAGCATAAGTGGTAGAGATTTATGAAAAGTTCTCTACATTCTATATTCATTTTGTCCCCTAGTATTAATTTTGTTTTCACTATGCATTGATACCAATGTGCCTTAATAAGTGTCTGATTATCCATAGCTAGCCCAAATGATCAAGTATCAGCCCTTCCTAGTCAGAAGAGTTGCTGGTCAAATGCAATGAAAGGAGAATCTTGAAAATCTCTTAAAATTGGGAAAGGAGAATATTGAGCTATAAAAAACATTTTGGGGTGGATATTCCAAGAAGTAAACCTTACTGATCTAGAGCTTTTTACTTTGACAGAAACGATCTAAGCAGCGGAAGTTACAGCAGAAGGCCTTTCGCAAGAGGCAGCTGAAGGAGCAGAGGCAGGCCCGGAAGGAGAGGCTTAGTGGGCTCTTCCTTAATGAAGAAGTGCTGTCCTTGAAAGTGACTGAGGAAGACCATGAAGCAGATGTTGATGTTTTGATGTAATAAGGATGAATTTATCAGTGTTCTTTCTAAGCATTATTCTATCCTTATTGGTTTACATGCATCTTGACCAAAATTTTGGTTAGGGCTGTGCTGATATACCATTAGTAACTTAGGCCAGTGATTCTCAGAGGGTGGTCCCAGGAACTACAACTTTAGCATCACCTGAGAAATTTTTAGGATTGCTTACTATCAGCCCCCCACCAGACCCAGTGAGTCAGAAACGCTGGGGGAGTAGCCCAGCATTGTGTTTTTCAACCAGTGCCAGGCTGTTCTGATGCACATTCTGGTTTAAGAACCACTGGTTTAAGTAAATGTTTTGACTATTTAAACTTTATGGTAGTTAAGTGGGTTTTTTTCAAAGACTAGTACTTTTTAGGAGATTTTACTTCATGGTACTGCTGACAAGTAGTTTGTTATATACATGTGTATAGATCATAATTCAGTCCCCCTCCCCTTTTTTGTGGTGCTTGGGATCAAACCCAGGGCCTCACGCATGCCAGGCAAGTGCTCTACCACTGAGCCATATCCCTAGCCCCTTAGTTCCCTTCTTAATGTTAAGATTTCTTGGTTTACTTTTTCTAAAGGGCCATAGCATAATTCTCAATTCCTTGTGGGAATCTTTCTTGAAGCGGGGGTGGGGTAGAGTAGGGGTGTGTGTAAAGTGTGGATTGTTGTTTACTATAGTGCCTTCATTAGATTTAGTTCTATTTGTTTTCATTCATTGTTAACTCAAAGGTGTAAAAGAACAGGCCCTACTCTTTTTTTCCAGTTAGGTTTTTTGTTTTCATTTTTCCCTTTAGGTAAAATTGAATCCTTTCTGCAAATGATAACTACTGAGGATATAATGTTAGTAGTAGCTGAATTGTAGACTTGATACTGTTGATTCATATGCAAGTAGAGAAAGCAATTAAGCAGAACAACTGATTCTATTTTCCCATTGCTTTCTGAAATTTTAGGCTGCAAAATTGTCTCAAAGATAAAAAATCTCTCTCTTCTCGCTCCCCTTCCCCTTATCATTCTCTGTTTCTCAAGTTCTTTTTGTGGGTCATTTTTCATCCAGCACAGCTCTAATTTTAAAATATTTGGTGTAACAGCTTCAGGCATGTGAACAAGTTAATGTTCAAAATTAACTGATGACAGACAGCCTTTAGACTTCTGCTAAACTTCTCTATAAATTGCTATAAGTATACAGATCAGTGAGTTACAGAAAACACCTTAATTTGTTGGTTATTAATAGAACTCTAAATTTAAATGTGAAGTCATGTAGATTCTTTAAATGTTTTCACAGAGAATTTATTACAGATTTAGAAATAGAGTGATTCCTTTTCTTTTACTACATGTCTTTGAACACGCACATGAGTTAAAGAAGATGGAAAGTGATACTACTGACAATCAAGCTGCTTTTCGACTTTCATAATTTTCTTTTTATAGTGAATAACATTTAGGAGGTAATCTTGATTCTGTAGGAAGAGTCATAATCAATATTTTTTTAAACTCTAGAGTCCAGAGGTTAATAGAATTTCTACTTCTTTTTAACATTAGCTCATTAAAAAAAAGATCAACTTAAATTCTTAATTCTCATTTGTTATAAGGCTTAAACTTCACTGTAATCATTTGTTTTGAAATTTTGATTTCATTTTGATTCCTTGTAGGTTAAAGAATTGAAACTGAGGGTTAAATTAATACATTGCAGTTTTGCAAGGTCTGTGATTTAGTGGTAACCTTTTGAAGACTACTTCTAAAGTCAGAATGTAAAAGTTTACTAAAATAAAATCATATGTGTATCTTTCTGACTTTCCTTTTACTTCCTCTTTGGTGCCCCTACCCAGCTTAGAGGACTCAAAGAGAGCTGGGAAAAGACCCCAGACTACTTGGAAGAAGATGGAAAAGATAAACCTCATTGTTTTCCCTTCCAAGTATAGGAAGAAGAAAGGGAGAGAAGAGCAAATACATCTGAATTCTCTACCTGCTTTTAGGAAAAACAAAATCCAACAGACTTATTGCCTGCTCTTTATCTATGATTCAAGGAAAATAGGCCACATTGGGAGACCAATGTGAGCAGCATTTATCTGTCACATACTTGGAAACTATTTACTTTATATGGTGACCTGTAAAAGAAAATCCCAGTGGTCACTAAGAGAAATTCCTAAACAGGGTCATGATGTAATTTTAAGACCAATTCCTGTATTCTCCCCAAAATCACGTAGTTTTATTACCTTAGATTTAACTTAAGTCACTATTAAACAAATTTACCAAAGTGCCACAAAGCGAATTTTTAAAGTTTGTAAAGGTTTGGTTGTTTGTAGAAGTGTGTCATAAAATTTTGTGTAAATCTGGATGCACTATCTTTACTATAAATAGAGCCAACCCATAAAGAGGATTTGGAAAACAATAAAATATTTCTTTCATTAAAAATAAATAAATAAATAACTTGAACTTGCTTATAATCTAAGAGGAAGACTACCAAGTCTTTCTCTATCCCTCCAAAAAAGAAGCCAGCCCAAAAAGAAATGATTTTTTTCTTTTTAATGCTTCATGTGGATAATTAAAGTTTGAATGATCTCTTTCTTGGAATAAGTAATTATTTATTCAATCTGTTATCTCTCTAAGTTCAAATAAAAGAAATACAACTCAGTATTTATCCTTCTTAAATATAAACCCTTATTAACCAATTAGGGTTAAGACAAGGCTTATTTGCCCCAGTGTTGGTTCCCATTTGTACAGAACTGACATTGCTGCAAATAATTCTCCTCTTTAAAAAATAAAACTTGTTAGCAGAGTGCATGCTAAAGTTCCCACAGACTTTCCAGAGACCTTTGATTAGAGATCTTATAATGAATGGTATTTCAGTCCTTACTGCTACTTTTAAAAGCATGAACCTTGAGTTAAATAAAATGGTGTGTATTTTTCTACAGTTTTGCAACCTATTAAAGGAAGACAGTGTGCTATAATGTGTAGTGGGGTATAAAGGGCTAATTCATTCTTTCTCAACAAAAACTTAAAAGTAATACTTGTCTCATATTTTGTTGGATGTGGCAGCTTAGTTTAATTTCTTTGTCCCTTGGGTAAATTAGATATTGCTGAATTAATCTCAGAAACTGACTTAATAAAATAATGACTCTTCATAGATTGAGTAGATATCTCATTTTTATTTAGCTTTTGAAATGCTAAATCTCAAGAAAACTAAAATTATAAGAAATTATTATATAAAGTTATCCAGATTCTGATGAGCTTTAAAAATTGTAAAATTTGTCAAATAACTTCATATTTAAGCCAAAAATGTTAGTATATAAACAATATAGAAGTCTTGTTTGTTTTGGGTTCTCTAGTAGACTTTTTGTTCATGGCTTAGTCTTTTAGCCTCATGTGCCTTAAAAGGTGGTGAACTCTGTACTTTTTGTCAATATCAGGCTTCTCCAAACTCAAAAAATAATCATGTGATAATTCATTTTGTATAATGCCCATGGTGTTTGGATATCAGTAAGTAAAACCTTTGAATTGAACCAATCTATAGTGATAGAGTGTAAAACAAACACAAAATCCTTCAGATCTTAAACCTCATTTGTGTAACTTTATTTTCTACCCATCTAGATCACTGGAGAATCTTGAAAGTTATCTGAAGTATGACTTAATGTATTCTTTTTTTTCCCTGAGAAAAGTCATAGGCCAGGATACTTTTAAAACCAGATACAGTTATCTGGAAAGAAAATTTTCAAGGTATAGGTAAAGAGTATATAGCAAGCTGATTCTCTTGTTAACTTTAAGGATTCTTTGAATTCATTTGTGTCATAATTGGAATACTACTTCCCTTTCTGTGTTAGTCAGCTTTTCATCACTGTGACCAAAAGGCCCGACAAGAACAATTTGGAGGAGAAAAAGGTTTAATTTGGGCCCACAGTTTCAGAGGCTCAGTCCATGGACAGCTGGGTATATCACTCAGAGCCGGATGGAGGTGAGGCAGAACATCCTAGCAGGGCAGGGTGAAGGAAAACTACTCAAACTCACAGAGAATAGGTGCCAGGGACAAAATATGATTCCTTAAGGGCATGCCCTTCAGTGACCTACTTCCTCCAGTCATACCAGTTACCACCCAGTAATCCATTCAAATTATCAAACTATCAAATGGATTAATCCACTGATTAGGTTATAGCTATCAGTCTAATCATTTCACCTCTTAACATTTCTGTCTATGGGCTGGGGATGTGGCTCAAGCGGTAGCGCGCTCGCCTGGCATGCGTGCAGCCCGGGTTCGATCCTCAGCACCACATACCAATAAAGATGTTGTGTCCACCGAGAGCTAAAAAATAAATATTAAAAATTCTCTCTCTCTCTCTCACACACTCTCTCTTTAAAAAAAAAAAAATTTCTGTCTATCACATGAGCTTATTGGAGGATAACTCATATCCAAAAACATAATACTTTCCTTTAACAAATTAACCTTTTAGCACTTCTATCTTATTTGGCATTGAGGGGGAATACTTCTGTCCATTTTTATTTGGGGACAGTTGATAGTAAAATTCCCAGTTACATTAAATAATTTTGTTGACAATGAGTTCAGTGATATTCAGTATGTCTAAATTACAAGTATATTTAATCATGAAAAGGACTATTAGTAAATAAATTTGTATACATATGTACTGTGGTAACTTCAGATTTGTTTTCAGTCTGATAAAGTAAATTTTTCTTAAAACTGAAATTAGGTTAAGTGGTTAAGAACCATCTGGGAGACACTTTGAAGCTAAGCACCTCTAAGCATAGTATCTGAAACATACTCCTTAGAAATTAAGTCTTAATGTTACCAGCCGTGGTCTGGGATCATGTTGTGTTTCTCAGATCTTGAGTTCTTGCAGGACAAAATTCCAGGCAAGGCATGAAAAGTAGTAAAGTCTAGCAGTTTTAATAGAAGAAAAAAAGCACTCTCAAGAGGGAGGAAGATGGTAGGGGGGTCTCAACTTTTTGACTGATAATAGTTTTGCATCAGATTTTTAGTCCCTACTTAGCCTCAGGTACCCAAACAGAGCCCATGGGGGGAATTTTACCATGTAATGCTAAAGATCTGAAGGCAACTCTGGTCACTTTGGTCCACCTAACCAGTTCTAATTGGAACTTGATTTTTAAAAAAAATTTAAACAGATTTCATGGTGAGTGGGCTTTGCTTTTAATTATCCCGTCTTCCTCAGTAGAACTTTTGGTGTATATAAGGGTTTTGAAAGTCTACACTTCAGGGTACTTTGTGTTCTTTTAGGCAGGGAGTGATCTTAAGTTCCTTATGCCTGAGAATAACTCTACAGATAACAGGTTGCAACTCATCCTATTGCCTTAAGCCAGGGCAGGGCCTGAGTGGCCTTAGGTAAATTGCTTTTTAAAAGAAAGCATGTGGGTAGGCCAACACAGTAGGCCCATCTATAGAATTATCCCCTCAATGTTCCTACTGTTCATGTCTATCTGCTACCTGTCATTATTTCTTTGGAAAATAATTTACTTATTCCAAAAGGCTTAGAAAGAACTCTGAAAATTCTTCTAATTGGGTATTAAGAATAAGGAAGTTGCATGGTATATTTGAAGATCTGAGTTGACTCACTGAAATTGTATTCCCATTTTAAAAATATTAAAATTGTTTTCAACGCCCTTTCCGATTATTTTTTTAAAATAATATTATTAGTGTCTTAACCTAGATCAAATAATGGTGAATTACATTTTAATTTGAAATTCATGAGGAACTCAGAAAAACCAGTTTGGTCTGACTTGGTCTTTGCTGAATTTGTAGAACTTTTTCTTTATTGTCAAGTTTATTGTTACGTTTTTGTGGTTAATGGAACCTGTGGAAATCTGTATTCTTTTTTGTGGTGAGGGATGGAGGTAAAAAAAAAAAAGGTGAATTGCTTAATTATGCATATACATTTTGACTATGTAAAGGTAGTTGTACAAGTAATATGTATAAATGACAAGTTAATACTTACTATTCTGGATTGTTCTAAGGAACATTGGCCTGAAGCCATGACTTGTTTTGTGGAGCTACTTGCTCTTAACAGTAGGTGACTTATTGTAAAATGAAACTTTGGAGTTAGCTTATCTAGCTGAGGCGTTTAAGAATGGAGCAGATAATCTCTGTTCCTGAAGTAGATTCATTTAATTTCCTATTTGATATTTCCTAATTTAGATATAAATATTAGACATTCTAAATCTTTGTGTTGGGAATCTAATAGAACTCTTTGTCAAAGATATTAATGATCAACTCCATGTAAGACATTTCACAGATGGTTAAGTATTTCAAATTGTTTGAGGGTTTTTTTGTCTTTGTTTTTAGTTTCAAAGATTAGTTATGTAGCATCAATATCATAACCAAAGCAAGTAGGAAGTTGACTGGTTTGGAGAATCTTCAAGTAGTCTTAAATACTGTAATGTATCCGGTTGTTAACCAGGATTTATTTTTCCTGTATTCCTGCTAAATGTATTAATGCACTTTTGTATATATAACTGTCTTCTGTACATTCTGTACTTACTACAGTGTATATAAAGCCTGTTTTTCCTGAAGCTGTGTGAGGAAATAACAATTGATAACACAAGTCATTTCTATTTTGAGTTCCTTCTTGTACTTGAAAGTAATTCAGTAGTTAAGTCTAAATGAGTGTGTGTGATTGTAATTAAAACTGGCTATGTGGCAGAGCTGTCTTTTGAACTGAATATCAGAATGAAAAAATGTTTCCAGTTATTAAGAACACTTGTAATAATATCATTTTTATTGTTTCTTTTGATGTGCAAGTTTCTACAAACCCTGCTGCTGGTTACCACTTTATACTTCTGAATCAGTTTCTTTCATGTTCATCCTAGGACACTGACCAGCAGAGAAGAATTGCTCTCTTTCCTTTAGCTTTCTGCTTGGGTAGAGCCCAATTCCCCAAAAGTCATTGGCAAAATATTTTTTTTTCTGAAGAGATTAGATTTCAAGAGAGAGATTAATGTTGATAATAAGTGAAAGTTAGGCCTTATTTTGTTGACAAAAATGATCTGGTTTCCTTATAGTCACTCTAAATCTTTTTAAGTTATGGTTTTATAAAAGAAATCCCTGTGTGCAGTTTGATGTATAGAAACAGGAGCAGTTCAGCTTTTCAGCAGCAACTTTATCTTTTGCCACTAGAGGGAGGCCTATGATTGCTCTCTCCTTTGGAAAATGTCCTAGCTGCTTTTCCTTTGTTTTTAATTTCAGAGGTTGGCATAGACCTTATTCTCAAAATTCCTTTGTGGTATTAAGTACTTTCATTTATTAGTCAAAGGTAACTTAATTAAGCTTGTTTAGTGAAGCCAGTCTTATTCATGCTTTTCTGTAATCTTCAATTTTTAATAAATGTGAGTTAGGTATTAAGTGAAACTTGAGTATGTGTATTTCTTCTTTTGTGTACTTGAGAGCTGTACTGTCCCTATGGTAGCCATTAGCCACATGTGGCTATTTATTATTTTTTTAAAATATATATATATTTTTAGTTGTAGGTTGACAACAATACCTTTATTTTATTTATTTCTTTTTATGTGGTGCGGAGGATTGAACCCGGTGTGCCTCGCACATACTAGGTAAGCACTCTACTACTAAGCCACAACCCCAGCCCCATATGTGGCTATTTAAATGAAATAAGACTAAATAAATTTTGAAAATTAATTCCTTAGTCCCATAGCAGTGCTTCAAGTGCCCAATAACCACATGTGAAATATTTCTATTTCTCTATTGGAAAGCACAGGCTCTAGAACATTCCCATTACCACAGAGAGTTCTTGACAATGCTGCAATAGAGATTTGATGGCTTATATAGCAAGCCATTAATCATTATTTTACTAGTGAATGATAACGAGTGGCTAAAAACTACTGTTTACAACTAACTGTTGTGATTGGCATGAGAGGAAAAGTGAGATCTATTTCATCTTCTGCTTCATTAAAGCCACTACCAAAATTAGGAACTTGGTGGTTTCAAGGAGGAATTACTCAAACATTGACCATTTCATTTGACTATTAAAAAGATATATTCGAATACTGTGGGAAATTTGGTGCATTTTCCCAGGTTTGTATGTTTTAGTGCTGGGGATTGAACCCAGGGCCTACCATGTGTGTGCCCTGCCATTGAACTATACCCCCAAC